CTTTAAAAAACAATGAAATCTCCAATATTCGTGAAGCAGCTCGCGTTTATGATGTGCCTTGCTCTACTCTTCAAGACCGGCTCCGGGGAAAGACCCATCGCAATGAGACACGCGCAAATAGTCATAAAATGACTAGAAATGAAGAGGAATCACTTGTACAATGGATACTATCCCTGGATCAGCGTGGAGCAGCTCCCCGACCAGCTCATATCCAAGAAATGGCTGATATTCTAATCTCTAAGCAGGGTGATACAACTACTACAACTGTTGGAGACAAATGGGTCTATAACTTCATCAAACGCCATGATATTCTTAAATCCTGATTCTCTCGACGATACAATCATCAGCGCGCAAAATGTGAAGATCCAAATATTATCCAAGAGTGGTTCAACCGTGTACAAATCATTATGATGCAACATGGTATTCCATATGAGGATATCTATAACTTTGATGAGACTGGATATGCAATGGGTCTAGTAGCTACTGCTAAGGTAGTTACTAGAGCTGAGATGACTGGCCAGCCCTTTCTTGTACAGCCAGGAAATCGGGAATGGGTTACATCTATTGAGTGTATCAACTCTACAGGATGGGTTCTGCCACCATGCATTATCTTCAAGGGAAAGGTCCATATTAAGGGATGGTATGAAGATAAGGCCTTACCGCGTGACTGGAGGATTGAAGTCAGTGATAATGGATGGACAACAGACAAGATTGGCCTAAGATGGCTTGAAAAGGTCTTTATTCCAGCTACAAATGGTCATACAATTGGAAGATATCGCCTCTTGGTTCTTGATGGCCATGGGAGTCATTTGACTCCTCGTTTTGATGAGATATGCAGCCAGAATGATATTATACCAATCTGCATGCCACCACATTCATCACATCTTTTACAACCTCTTGATGTTGGCTGCTTTGCACCTTTAAAGCATGCATACAGGGGCTTGGTTGAGGACAAGATGCGGCTTGGTTTCAACCATATTGATAAATTTGACTTCCTTGAAGCCTATCCCCAAGCTCGTACAGGGGCCTTTAAAGCAGAGACTATCAAAAATAGCTTTGCAGCAGCTGGCCTGATACCGCTTAATGCACAAAGGGTGCTTGAGAAGCTTAATATACAGCTCAAGGTTTCGACCCCCCCAGGCAGCCCATCTACCAATTCAGATCCTAAAACACCACACAATCTCAAGCAACTGGGGAAGCAGGCATCTACAATTAAGAAGCTGTTAAGGCAGCGTACACAGAGCCCATCTAGTCCGACAAAAGCTGCATTGGGGCAGCTTATAAAGGGATGTGAGTTGGCTATGAATAGCGGTATTCTTCTTGCCAAAGAAAACCAGGATTTACGATCTGCACATGAGAAGCAGCTCCAAAAGAGGAAGCGATCTAGGCAACAGATTGATGCTACAGAGGGCCTTTCAGTCCAGGAAGGCCAGGGTCTTGTACAAAATAGGAATCAGGTGGAAGAAGATAGCCAGATTGTATCTACTGAACCAGTAGCTGAAGTGCAACAGCGCCCTACACGGGCGCCCCCACGCTGCAGTGACTGTCATATTATAGGACATAGACGCCTACAATGTCCTAATCGCAATGGTAATTAGTTTTTATATAGAAATGCATTTTGGGGGTTCAAAATAGGCCTATTTTCTGACCTCCGTCGGGGAGGTGGCCGACTCGCTTACGTGGCCGACTCGCTTACCGAATACGTTAGTTAACGTAATTCCCGAGCCAGTCGGCCACCCAAGCCAGCCGGCCACCTGCGTTTACCATATTAATCGGCACTTTTTATAACCTCAAAATCTCAACAACGAAGCATTTAGACGGTCCAAGTTTTAAGTTATACAGTATTATGGTACTATAGTTCTATATACTAAGCACAGAGCTTTCTAGAATAGGCACTTCTCAATGTAATATAAATTACAGCAGTATTTTTTCGTATTTTTG